GCGGGGCCTCGCGGGCTGGGGCGGAGTGGGGCCCGGCGTCCTCTGCAGGACCGGGCCAGGGGTTCGGCGCTGGCCACCGAGGCGGCGCACACATCGGTGGCTCCAACAGCAAGAAGTTCAGGAGGCTGTCGGGGCCGGGCCGGCGGGGGGCCGCTCCCGGGGCACCCCATCCTCGAGGCGTGCCCCCCGGCTCCCGGCTCCGGCTCCCGGGCCGGCGGGCGGCCGCTCACCATGCCCGGCAAACACCAGCACTTCCAGGAACCGGAGGTCGGCTGCTGCGGGAAATACTTCCTGTTTGGCTTCAACATTGTCTTTTGGGTGAGCTTGGGGTGGGTTTCGAGCCCTGTGGAGGGGGTGGCGGGAGCTGGCGGGGCAGTTCCCACTTGGTGGAGCCCACCCCGTGCCATCCGGGCTTAGCGCTGCCCCTTGCGCCTTTCTCCCACCCCCACTGCCACCTCCTCCGTCCCCCTCCCCCCTCTCCCGACCCCCCGAGGGAATTACTGCTGGGCGCCGCGGCCTCTAAGCCGGGATTGCAGGGGGGCGGGTCCCGGCCTCCGCGGGTGCGGGGAGTCCCCTGTGTTTTCTTATGGCCCGACCGAGAAAGGGATGGTGTTGGTGGTCATTCTGCTTAAAGGCTTTTGTGGGTGGTCTCATGAGATCTGCAGTCCTGGCGCTCACCCCGCTTCCTGAGCCTTTTGCCAGCAGTGAGAGGGCCCCTTCCTCTTTCCCTTTCCCTTCCCAAGGTCCCAAGGCTAGAAACAGAACATCACGCTATAGAGGAGATGTGGGAAACTCAGAACACTCCTTTTCTCAGTTATGTCCAAGGATGTGTGGGCTTTGCCTGGGGCTGAAGTAGAGGTGGTTAGATGAGGGCCTTGTCTCGCCTGAGGAAGGGGCTAATCAGGTCTCACCCTGGTTCTGCTTAGTGATGGGTTAACGTGAAGATGAAGTTTCATGAACCCTTTCTGATCTGTTCTAAATAAATACTTTTGAATAAAACTGGAGTGATTTTTTAAAAAAAAGATTTGTTTACTTATGCATACAGAATTGGGGTACAGGCCAGAGGTGCC